ATATATATATACATGTTGTTGTTGAGTCAGTTCTGACTCTCACACATATATGTATATAGAACATCACACATATATGTATATATAACACCACAATATATGTATATATAACATCACAATACATGTATATATAACATCACACACATATGTATATATAACACCACACATATATGTATATGTGATGGCACACATATATGTATATATACCAGCACACATATATGTAGATATAATGACACACATATATGTATATAAAATAGTACACATATATGTAGATATAACAGCACACATATATGTAAATATAATAGCACACATATATGTATATAATATGGTGCATATATGTATATAAAAGGAGCTCTGGTAGCGTAGTGGTTACGAATCGGGCTGCGAACCACAAGGTCAGCAGTTCGAAACTACCAGCTGTTCCGGAGGGAGAAAGATGAGGCTTTCTGCTCCCGTAAAGATTTACAGCCTTGGAAACCCTGTACAGGGTCGCTATGAGTCAGAACTGACTCCACGGCACATCACAACAACAAATATGTATATAAAATAACATACATGTATATATAATATGATATATATATAACATGTATAACAACAATATCATGTTGTTTTTTGTCTAAAGTATCTTAGTCTGGAAGCTCAGCTGAAACCTGTTCACCATGGGTGGCTCAGCCAGTATTCAAAATAAGGTGGTTTCCAGAATCACAGCAACACAGAAGCCACCACAGTGCAACAACTGACAACATATGGATAATATTTCTGTATTTTGTCCTAAAATAAAAAATGTATATACACAAAGAAGGGTAAGTCAAAAAGATTTGCTATTAAGGTTGCATTTCATACATGTGCATGTTTATTCCAAAAAAAAAAAAAAGTCATTAAACCTGTCTCTGTTATCAGCATATGGCTGTGAACAAATTTCACAGTAAATCAGTTACAGTCTCATTATTGTTGTTGTTGTTAGGTGCCATTGAGTCAGTACCGATCAATAGCGACTTTATGCACAGCAGAACAAAACACTGCCCGATCCTGGGCCAACCTAACAACTGTTACCATGCTTGAGTCCATCGATGCTGCCACTTGGACAATCCATCTCATTGGGGTTCTTCCCACCTTACCAAACATGATATTCTTCTCCAGTGACTGGTCCCTTCTGACAATATGTCCGAAGTGTGTGAGAGATGAAGTCTGGCCATCTTAGCCTCCAAGGAGCACTCTGGCTGCACTTCTTCCAAAACAGATCTATTGGTCCATTTGGCAGCCCATGGCACTTTCAATATTCTCCTCCAACACCATAACTCAAAGGCATCAATTCTTCTA